AATATTGGCTACTGGGCCTCTGAACACGAACTGGCCTCATGACTCTGCCCGTTCAGTCCACTGAGGAGACTGAGGCATTGACAGTCAGTTTTCAATAACAGGAAGTGGTATTTAACTGGCAATTGTCTGAACAAAAAAACTGGAATTGTTTTGTGGCCTGTCCAGCATTTCTGAAGCTGTGACCTTGACATGAGCAATATTATCAAGAAAGGAAAAAATAATAAATGGAACAGCACTGCTGAGAAATGTTTAAGCTATCACAGAACTTTGACATATACTGTCAATATGTAGCTCTGTCCGTAGCTCTTTCACTGCCTAAACATTACTGAAACACAAATTCTACAATCTGATTTGAGCATAAACACTAAAAATAAGTGAAGAATGAGATATTAACTTTTTATTTATTAACTTTTAAGGCTATTTACAGTATTTATGACCCTTTATGGCGATAAGGCCACAAATTTAATTTAACTGTAATTTTTCTTATTTTTTTAACTCGGTGCGAGAATCCTCCAACTCTGATTAAAACTGGGTGGGCTGTGCTGTCATAAAGGCGGAAATGTTCACAAAAAAAATCACATCTTTTACATAGAAAACCACATATTTTCCTACAATCAACACTATGCAGCTGCCACAACCTTGTGCTTTTTGGCTATAGTTAAACTGTAGAACAGACTAGCAGCACAAGAAACTCGCATACTTCCGGCATCTGCTTCACACATGAAGTTGGAGAAAAATTATTTTTTAATTTCTGTTTTGACAATCAGGCTCTAGGATTTATTTCTTGGTACATTCATTTTCCATTTGGCTAACAGTGGCTGTTTGTATTTCCATAAGTGCTGTTGGAGGTCACTTGTATGCATATGTTCTTCAACATGACAATTCTGACAGAAACACCATTGTACTGACTGGAAGCACAATTCACAGACTAAATAAGACAATGAAAATGTGGCAAATAACTCCTGCCAGGAAACTAAAGCCTCCAAAATCCTAATTTGTTTAATAAAATTTTATCTCACTACTCAAACTTAAAATAACAAAAATACTGACTTGTCAAGTCAAGCAATTTGCTAGTGACTTTGATTTCTAAGATTGCATAACATGACCTGCAGACTAGATAGAAGCGATTGACAAAAAAATCTACATCACCGTTTCCTCCTCATCTTCCCTCTAATGTGACAGAGGAACGGCGCATGTACTTTCACATCTCAGCATGTAAACATAATCACAAAAGCCTGAAGGAAACATCTTGCATCTCCTTTGATCCCTTTTCAGAAAGTGTGATATTGCCTTTTGGCCTTTTCTGTGTAAATGTGGCCTGCCAGTCCTGATTCCATCTATAGTGACTGCTGTGAGACAGCAGCAAGACAGTCATTCAAGCTAACCAGCTACTCCTGCAGTGACTGGCTGCCCATGTGATTGAAGCCCAGTGAGAATGTTCAAATGCACTACAGCAAAGAAACAGTGGCAGCATTCCTGACTCACCACAGCTACAGTGTGTGGCTCCACAGCTACAGTATGTTAACTCTTCTCAAACACTGGCTATACAAACGAGCAAATCTCAAAGAAAAATACCTAGATATCTAACACCTTGCAGTGCAAAAGACTTCGGCCTTTTATACACTAAGAGGAACTGATACACATACTGTTTGTTAAGGGCATCCTGGATTCACTTAAAGCCTCAACTAGTGCTCTTGACTATTAAAACAACTTTGGCTGATATTAATTAACTTTGAGAAAAAAGCCAGCTTTATGTTTTTGCACATTGATCAGTAATTCTTCAAAAAAGAAATCACAGCAATTCAAGAGAATCTTAATTTAGGCACCTAATATGATGCTTCTTAACACATTCCATTATATTTACCAATAAAATCCAACTGTATCATTGTCAGGAGTTCCTCGTTAATAACCATTCCTTATAGTTTGTTCTTCTCCACACATCCATTTAGCCAAAATGCTACTTTTTAAATACACATAAACCAGTATTGCCTGTTAGATTAAACAACAATTTCAAAACATGATTTTGGCATAAAAAACAAAAACGTTAAGAAAAAAGGGTAGAACATACACAAATGTTCAAGGCTTTAGAGCACCAGTAGAGCTAGTCAAAATGCAACATACTGTAATACAAAAAAAATGCAGAATTCACAATCCTCCAAAGCACATGGTTTCTTGATGCCCTCAAAATAAGAGGCTGAGAATCCTTTAAGAAAACTGCTGGTTGTCTATGCAGCGTCTGGCTGTGTGGAAGTACAGTAAGGGGCTTTTCTGGATTACTGCTGCTGAATGATGCCTGCTGGGAACTCTGATGTCAAGTCGTTCTGTGATATTCTCCACTGCAGCGGTTTATCGAACCCAAACAGAAATATGAAAAGCCTTCCTCTGGGCTGTGCCAACGGCACTAATTCTTAGCTATTTTTATCTACTCATATAATTATATAGATACATATAATTTATCTAAAGATCATAAGATCTTAAGAAGCAATTTACAAACTTGTTTACTCTAACTACAGTCATGATTGCACTGACCTTTGTCCAGAGAAACAGCACTTTTTAAACAGTTCAGATACGGAATCCATTACAAAAAATGAATGGAAACTGGGAGTCCCACGAGTTTCGCACGGTAGCCTCAGATTAAACCCTTGTCATGCTGCTGTGGGATTCCTAATCTGTCAGCTACCAGTACATGCCGCCAAACAAGAAAGTGTCATTACTTGGCTAAAGCAGTTTCGACTCCGAGCGAAATGTTGACCCCTGCAACTTCCTGGGAACCCTCTA